TAAAACTGTTATCAAATGTAACTTTGAATATTAAGTAAGATCTGTCACAAGTATAAAAAACTAGAAAGTTTAAAAGAAATCAGAGAGGGAGAATAGCTTTCTTTACTGTGGAGCAGAATATCTGAAAATGCAAGGAACAATTTTATACCATAACTAGCTTGCCTATCACAGCAGCACAGTAATTGAAAAATCCTATCAATAACCTAATAAGAGAGCTTACACAGAACATTGTACACAACACTGGCATTACTCTACAAACTAAAAATGCTTGTTAAACAAACAAACAAACAAAAAAACCTCATATAATTCCAAGTTATTGAATGTAGTAAGAATTTTAATTATTCAATAAATAATGACAATTATATAAAACGCTATAGAGGTATAATACTTTGGTTTTGCTGAATTCTAGTACATTTGAAGAACTTTTTAAAAATATAGCAAAAGTGATTTATAGGACTAATTTCATTCTAAATACACAACTGTCCTTTATTTAATTTTGTTCACTAATAATTGACTACTTTGTTTATATAATCATAAATAATTTTACTTGGAAAAAATGAAGTCATTTAAAATGGAGTTGAAATAGTTTGTTTGATTCACTACAAGGATAGCCTATGTGGTGCCATCTCTGTCAGTAACTTGTAAATGAGGTCAAGCCCAGCTCTGAAAATATTTAATAATGTAGTTAACATCTCCAATTATTGGGCTTCTTCCAACATCAATACTGAGGAGATAGTTGAGGACCCAACAGCAAACCAAAGAACTACCAAGCATCAGAAAAACTGAATTGCCGCGAAGTCCTTTCTACTAAGTTCCATTAGCCCTTGATTCTTATAAATCATTCCATTAACCTCAGTTTCTGGATTCTTTTGTTACAACAAATCTAAAGCAGCAAGTTAGGGGAAGAGGCAAATGAGAAAATACAAAGCTGGACAAGCAAGTTCACAGGAAAAACCAAAAACTGACAGCAAGGAAAATGGATAAGAATGACAAAAATAAATGTCCAATAATATAGAATTCTGACTACATAATACAAGCAGTACTAGAGTAAGAATTAGAGTTCCAGAACTACACTAATGTAGGAGATCTAATTATTTTGCATTTCATGTTCTTGTTCTGTATGAGAGTCATACAACATTAACCTGTTTATCATACTGCATGTAATGTCTTTTTTTAAAAATGATACCTGAACATTGTGCCTGATCATAAAAGAATAATGTTGTAGAGAATTTGTAAAATAAAGTATAAAAAAATTAAAATAGCCTATAACCCACTACCCAGAGATAACCACAACTGACATCTTGGTGCATGTTTTTTCAGATGTCTTCATATATAAATACTTACACGTACCTTTTTTTTTTTTTTAACCTGACATTATCTGTGGGCATTTTCCCAACTTGAAAAGTGTTTGTAGAATTATTTTAATGGCTACATAAAATAATTCATTCTCCTATTACTGCAGATTTTGGTTAATATGAAATACTTTACAAAGTATACTTCTATACTGTAGGGGTTGGGGTTGTGGCTCAATGGTGGAGCACTTGTCTAGCAACATGTGCGGTCCTGGTTTCAATCCTCAGCACCACATAAAAATAAATAAATAAAATAAAGGTACTGTGTCCATTTACAACTAAAAATTTTTTTAAATTATACTATACTGTATACATGAGAATTTTAAAATGATCATTTATTATAAGGTCTTGAGAAAGAAAATTTAGAGAAATCTAGAGAGAAAGGAACAGAAGACCAATTACCAAGAAAAACATTAAAAAGTTATATGTTGTAAAACTGTTATCAAATGTTAACACGTAAGTCTTATGAATAAATGAGATACTTGGAGAACCAAGTCTCTGAATAAATTTTGGGAAATGATCATTTTAGGTGGTTTCTGATACCAGCAATAAGAGACTTCTGATTAAGAAAATTCTGGATTACTCTTATTAAATTCCAACCTAGCTGGTAACACTGCACTCATTAAGAACTTCTTCAGTCATTCTGCTCCTTCATTCAAGAAGCAAATGTCAGGGACCGTCCTGTGCATGAGCTAAGCCCCTCCAAAAGTCTTGAGTAAAGGAGATATTGGACTGGCAACATACGCCACACCATGTGTTATACCAAGCAAGTGGCCTTTACCCCCACTCATCAAGGAAGAGCCTCAGCTCTGGGCTTGAGCGGTACCCAACAGGATTGGGCAACCCCTGCTGAAACACTATCCCCTGCCTTATTGGGGTGGAACATTCTATCAAATGTCTTTTCCCTAATAAACAGAGGGGTTCCAAGTGCACTCGCTCTCTTGCCCTCTTGCCTTCCAGCGTGAAAGAGGACCCTTGAGGTGGCAGAGCAGGCCCACCCTCCACCTGAGAAACTCATGTCTGTGGGTTGCATGATTCTTCGCTGTTTCCTTACTTTCATGTTGCAGCCAGCTCTTTTGACCAGCTCATCTTACCAGCATACACAGCTGGAGAGAAGCAAACACTTATTGAATACTTGCTGTTTGAAAAGCACTATGCTAGGTTGCATTTAATTGATATTGAGAGTTTTCCTTATAAAATATTCTAGAAAATGAGTCCGTAGCATTTTAAATATTTTAACAAAATGTTGGGGTGGGGGGGTAACATCCAAAATCCTACTGTATCTAACCTCTCACTGTACTTATTACCCAGGAGCATCTGTCTCTCCTACTTTGGAAAGCAGAGACTGTTGCCATTTCTCTATTTCTACCTCTTGATCTAAGTTTGCTGATTATGTGGTCTGTTCAAAGTTAACTATGTTTAGTAGAACTGCTTTATAAATTTTGTTTGGTGTTGGGGACTAAACCTAGGAACTTGTGCTCTACCAGTGAGCTATACCCCTAGCCCATGAATAACTATATTTATAATAGTTTTTAATCCCATTCTAAAAGCACATGTTTATACAAATGAAATAATGTACATACTTTCTTTAGTTTTGTTTTTGCAGTAGTGGAGATAAAGGGCAGTAGTGCTCTACCTTTGAGCTATAATCTAAGCTCCCCCCCCCCTTTTTTTTTCCCTCAGACAGGATCTTGCCTCAGCCTCCTGAGTAGCTGGGATTACAGGTGTATACCACTGCAACATCTAAACTATTTCTGATAATGTTGTTTTCACTCTATTTACCATGTCCCTCTCAGCCTTAATCCTTTTAATGATTGTATATTTTATATGATTCGTATATTTTAATATTCCATTGCACTTACATGGCTGAGGAATCATGACCTCAGTAAAGTATTTTATACCAGATAGCTAATGTTGCAGCAAACATATGTTGCCTTAAAGGCCTCAAGGATCTCTTACTGGAAACTGGGCTCATTTCTAGAGGAAAATAAACTATAATAAAAATTAACTTTAAAAGATTTTTACCCCATAGGTAGACTTTTGAAAGATAAAGAAATATATACATAAAGAAATCAAAATTCTACTTTGCGAAATCTACTTACAGCAAGCAATTTAATTATTATGAAATGTGACTGTTCAAAGTTAACTATGTTTAGTAGAACTGCTTTACATACATTTAAGAAAGATACATTTGGTAGAAGGCAGTAAACATTCTTAGGTAACAAATAAGAAATCTAACCAGAACTTCCATGCTTTTGAAAAGGTACACAAAATTACTTTCAATTCCTTAGATGCAGAGTGTTTGCTTAGTCCCTTGGGTTGCACAACTGTAAGTAATTTTGGGCTTCTGAAAATGCCAATGTTCCTTCATTTATATATTCTAGAGTAAAAAACAAAATCTACCTGTTTACATACAAGCATTTAAGTCTTAACATTAAAAGGGGGAGATTATAAAAAAGTCAATTATATTTTAGAAATATGAAGCTGGTTAACATACACATTCCTTTAACACACTTCTGATGAACATCTACTATTGCATCTCTGCAGTAAGGCCTTTCTTTCATTGATTACTGAAATCATTGACCTGGTTTCCTTTGTTTATATGGAAGAATGAAGAAAGAAAGGAAGAGAGGAAAAATAGTTAATTGTGTTTCAAGTATGATGGTTATCTATTAGCTCTAAAAAGAATATCACCTATAAAAAGTAACTCATTGTAGGGAGGAAGGGGGCCTTTCAGGCAAGCCTAAAGAGCTGCTCAAATATGTATTTTGTTTAAATGCTATTAAATTTATATTTTTTCTACGTTAAATTTTTCATGATGCCCCAAGAAGGATATCTATGCATAATACAATTTTGTAATGTTTGCGTTACAATTTCCATACATATACACACGCACACACACATAAAATCAGAACTTCACTACACACACACACACACACACACACACGTAAAACAAATTAATTAAAGCAGGAATTCTAAAGCTTTGTTCTGTGGAATCTTTCCGTCTTCAGAACTTCCAATCCACAGGATACAAAACCAACTGCCATGACAAAGACCTCCAAACAGGAACGTACAAAGACACGCTTTTAAAAACGCCCCTAAAGCCAAGTTCACAGCAGGCACTTGTAGCACACTCAGGCCACTGCTGAGGCAGCTGTCACAGGCCAATCTCACACACGTCCTCGAGTGCCAGCGTGCCACCTATGGAAGACAAGCTGATGATCAGCGCACAAATTCCCCACTGAATAAAAGGAAAGCTCTAAATCCCCGCCCTGGAAAACACAATGCCTGCACCACCCATAAAACTCCCTTTAAAAGTGAAGGGCTGAAGGTTTAAAGGCTATTAATTACCACCTAATTATCAATACGGTTTAAAGAAAAAAAGAGAGAGAAGTGTTTCATTGGGGCAGCCGTGAGAAAAGAGCCACACCATTCAATCACCACCGAAGTCTCGTCAGCTAGGTAGCAGCACCGGGCTTTACACGTCCTAGGAAAAGGGACAGGAGGGAGGGGAGGAAACCCCGACCCTGCAGCACCTCCCTCCGAGGGCAGCGCACCCGGCTGCGGCAAACTCGTTCCCCAGGCCTCCTCCCACCCTTTCCGGCCACCACCTCCCACCTCTGGCCCGGCGGTCCCCGGCTCTCCTACCTTCGCTTTGCCAGCTTCTACCTTTCTCCTTCTTTCTTCGTCCTCCATGGCTTCTGCGGGGTAGGCAGGGAAAGAACGGGGAGGGGGTCGGGGGTAGAAAGGAAAAATCGGTTCAGACCGAGGTGGGACGGCTAGCTCCGCGACCCAGGCCGCAGGGCTCGGCCAGGAGCTGCCTCCCCCCACCCCCGTAACAAAAACAGTCAGTCGCTGCAATCACTGGCGAATCGTCCTCGTCCACACGAGTACAGCGGTCGCCACCGCCATCTTCGTCTCCACGTAAACACAGAGTGAGGCGGGAGTCAAGACACGTCACAGCGCGCAGGCGCCTCGAACGCCGCGTTGCCTGGCAGGTGCGCCCGCGGCCCCGCCCCGCCTGCCTCGCTCCGCCGAGAATGTTCTAACCCAGTCCTCTGCGCGCCTGGGGGCTCCAGCCTGCCAGACGACCCCCACCGTGCAGGGGATTCAGTGCTTCCAGAACACTGGGGGCTTCCAGAACACTGGGGGCTTCCAGAACACTGGGGTTTTCCAAATTACACAAATTACAGATGCCTCTTGGGGCAATTGGCGAACGCTCCTGAAAAACCCCATGGGGAAGATGGGAGGGAGTAAGCGGCGGGATGCTAGCCTTCAACCTAGACTGACTCCCCCTGGACTCAAAGGATTGGGGGGAAACAGCTCCGTTACTTCCTTAGCCTGAGAGCCCCGCCCTTTTACCCCCACACTGGTTCCCGCCCAATTTCGGGTTCATCCTTCAAGGCCCACCCCAAGCGCCGCCCCCAGATAGCTCTGATTTCTTTGTTCTTTGCAGGGTGACTGGGACCTGTCCAGTCAAAATTTACTCCCCTCGCACACCTCTTAGGGGCGTCCGTTCATCAACAGTGTTCTGAAAGAAGCCTGAACTTTGAAAAATAGGCAGGAAACAAAGCCGATCTATATTAACTTTCTAGCTTTAATGACTTAAAACAAATTACCTATCATGTCTGACCTTACCTGAAATTTTGGAAGGGTTGTTGGTGTACTTGACTGCCCCTGGTATACTAAAACATCTGACTTAATGTCAGTTTTTTTTCTCTCTCCTTGTAGTTTCTTCATTTACTCTGCATGCTTTTAAATAATACTCCAGGACTCCCAGTTTCTTGATGGCAGAGACTTATCCTGAGTCTTGACATTATTACTGAAATGATGAGCCTACTGCTTTGCATGTAAGAGACACTTGTTGGCTTGAAATGAAACGTGTTTATAAATTGAGCATTACTCTTCACCTGATCCCTTAATCCTTCTGTTTTTCTCTGTACTCTCCAATCCTCAAATCCATTCCTAGGGTGAACTACACATTGCATTGTCTCAGGTTGATAGTTTCTCCTTTTTTGAATCATGAGTTCAATCATAGAAGTAGAGTGAAGTGAAAGTTGGATTTAAAAAAGAAAAAAGGAGAATTTAAAGAACTTAAATGTACATAAACAGAGCTAGTCTGCAATAGTCCTAATTTTTAAAATTTATAAATTTTAAGATTTTGTTTTCTCAAGCTCCCCCATTGCCAACTTGTAACACCCAAGGGTATATTGCCCTTTTATCTCAACCTGAATTGAGACTTGGATGAGGTTAGACAATTTACCATAGGGAACAAAGAATTGATAGAAAAAAAAAAAGTTATTTACTCGGTTATATTTCAAACAGTGCAGAGATTTAAATACTGCCTGGACTAACGGATTGTGTTTGTAGATTCTGATTGCCTAGATGGAGGAAGCCCCAGGATATTTGATAGATATTCCTTTTTGTTAATGAATACTCCTTTCTCAGTGGCTGAGGAAGTCAACTATTTGTTCTGGTGTGTGCTGAAAATATTCAAGAACATCTGCTAAAGCAACAAGTTTATTTCAATATTTCCCTTCACTAATAGCAATCAACCAAATGCATTGTTTTACATGTAATGGGTGCTCAATGAATATTGAAAGTTGTGTGTTGACTTCTATTAAAAGAGGAAGCATATAAAATTGGTGCTCTAAGTCTTATTTATAGCATCTGTTCATTCATACCATGTTATACCATTCACACATTCGTGTCATGACACATCATTCATTCTCTCAAGTCATTCCCTAAAAGGATGATATTTCATAAAGAACTTGGAAAAGATGAAAGAGCCCTGGAGATAAGTGAGGGAAGAGCAAATCCAAAGGCCCTCAGCTAGAGTATGACTGATATATTAAAGGAAAAGCAGGAGGCAAGCGTGGGTATAGTGGAGTGAGCAAGGAGAAAAATAGTAGAACAGAGAGGAAACAGGGCCAGATCCTGTATAATTCTGGAGGTTATTGTAAGAACTTTGGCTTTTACTGAGTGAGATCAGGAGCCATTGAAAAACTCTTAGCAGATAAGTGACCTGACCTGACTTATGTTATTAAAGGACATATGGCAACTATTAGGAGAAAGGACTCTGAGGGATCTATTTTGTTCTTATTGCAATAATTCAAACAAGAGATAATGGGAGTTTGAACCATAGTGTAGTAGTAGTAGTAGAAGCAATGATATAGGATCAGATTCTGAATGTAGAACTAACAGTGCCATAGAAGTTGTAGATTGAATGTGAGGTTTGAGAAAAGAAGAGTCAAGGATGACTCTGGTGTTTTGTGGTCTGAGCTATTAAAGTGATGTAGTTGCCAGTAACTTGGAGGAGGGCAAATTTGAAGATCAAGAATTCAGTTTTGATACAGCTTAGACATAAAAATTAGGCATCCAAGAAGTAATGTTACCCTTAGAAATCTGAGTTTGAAATTCAGGATCTACACACAAGGCGTAGTCTCTCTTCTGTGTGTTCAAGTGTTCTCCTTATCTTGTACTTTTAACTTTTTAAAAATGCACTGGGTTGGGGTTAAAAATCAACTACCAAATGGATCCCAACACCAATCTGTAGCCCAGAAGCTCCAGGATGCCAGGTGTTCACATGTCTAAATCCCTTCTCAGCACTGACAGTGAGTCAATTATCTTTTTATAATTAAAAAAAAAAGCACAAAATTGAGTAATATAGCATAAGAGTATCAGAAACTGCCTAAGTGGAAACCCACTATTTACATTTAACACCTGTAGCTAAAGCTGCATCCATGACAATGGGGAGGTCCTGTTTGTTGGCAAACACTAGTAGGAGGTCTGTCTTAACCTAGCTTATTTTTGGCGTACTCTCAGGAGCTCCCATGGGCCTAGTTCACAAGTTGTCATTGCTGTCTACCACAAGATCAAGCCTTGGGTATCCTGGAAGTAGTGATGTGGTAGCAGGAGGGTCTTGCAGACCTCACATGCCCCCGTGGTGAAGCTGGTGTTCTAGTACTTATTGGTCTTCACATGAAAAACTAGGTGAGAATGGTGGTCACGATTTCACCAAGCTTCAGTTGGTACATAATTGTCATCTTCCCTCCAGCATCCAGACCCACCATGAGGATGCACATTTCTTTTTTACCAAAAGGCCCTTGAAGAGATTTGCAAAGGTAGTCCCCATGCTCACAGGCTGATGGAAGCTACAGTGGCTGGTGACCAGCAGCAACTGCTCTGGGCCAGGTGTCAGTTTTTTCCCATAAGAGGGCAGTACTCCTAAACCATGTTTAAAATGTTACCTTGTACTGAGTCTTATTCCTTCAAATATCTCATCAATAATTTATTGCAGCCAGGCATAGTGGCACACGCCTGTAATCCCAGTAGCTCAGGAGGGTGAAGCTGGAAGATTGCGAGTTAAAAGACAGCCTCAGCAAAAGCGAGGCAATAAACAATTCAGTGAGACCCTGTTTCTAAATAAAATACAAAATACAACTGGGGATGTGGCTCAGTGGTTGAGTGCCCCTGAGTTCAATCCCTGATACTGATCTCTTTGCAAACATATACTCATTTTTCCTGCTTTTTCTAAAGTATCTGTTGTGAAATTGAAATAACCAAATGTTGCTGATTACTTCCTTCAATTTTCCAAATCTAAATTAATATGCAGATGATCCATATAAAAGATCCTATGGTAATAAAACTGCTAGATGACTATAACCTAAACCAAAATTATTTAGAGAAAACTTCCATCTGTTTCTTTGGTTTGTAGATCAGAGTAATTATCTACTCAGTTGCTTAACCATTTTGCCCACTTTCATGGCTTTGTTTCCCCTTAGAAGACTTTGCCAGTACCATTTCCTCTGAACATTTCTAATCATCACCTGCAATGCAATGAGCTCCATGGGCCTCATTCACAAGCTGTCACTGCTGTCTACCACAAGATCAAGCCTTGGGTGTCTTGGAAGTAGTGATGTGGTAGTAGGAGGGTCTTGCAGACCTCCCATGCACCTGTGGTGAAGCATCTTCCCTTAAACTATGCCCAACATCTTTTCTGCAGTGACAACACGTCCAACCTTCTCTATTTCAGTCAATGACCTTCTTCTAGTCTCCTCAACTTTTCATGTTTTGTTTCTCTCTTCCTCATCCATCATAGCTTATCAGGAACTATGTCCCCATTGTGCTTTCTTTCTCAGTGTCTCTTGACTCTTTCCCATATTGTCCTTTTTCATTGCAACCATAATAAACCAGACCCTTATTATCTCATATTTTGAAAATCACAAGAATTCAAGCTAGGACATCTGCTTCATTCTTCCCCATTACATTCCAGTCCTCATAACTCTATCAGATTAGCTTCCTAAAACACAAATTTCGCTAACTTCTCCCATTGTGTCCTACTGCCCATAAAATGAATCTCAAACTCCTAGATGTCATTCATGTGTCTCAGTTTAACTATGTGATCCTAACTCCAATTCCTCCCATTCATCAATTTCCCATTATAGTCAGACAGATGCTCGCTAGGCATTAATAACATTTTACACATTGCCAGAAATCCACATAACAATATCACAGCTTTCACAAGACAAAGATTTATGGTACATACAATTTAGCTTCTTTTGTAAATGTGACTGTTGTTCTTTGTAACTAAGGCTAAACTGAAGGGAAACAAAGGAGAAATTAAATGCTAAAACCAACTATGATGATTTTTTACTAATTAACATAAGTTAAAGATATAAATTTTAAAAAAAAATAGGAGGGAGCATAGTCGCACATCTTCCACATTTTATAGAATAAAAAACTCAAAGCATGAGAAGTTAAGTGACTTACCACCTTCCATGGTTGGGCAGCAAAAGTCCTAGCAAGTCCTAGTTCCAAACCATCTGATTTGAGTCTTACTCCATTTTGCCAAAATGCATCTTCAAACAAATAAATAGTAGACTTTTAAATTTATATATATGAATATATAAATTATTTATATATAAGTATATATTTATACAT